GCACAAATACCTTTTGGCTAAAAAGAGAGCCTCTGATGTGTCGATTTCAAATCACTCTTTGACCTACTCTGAGATCTGCTACAAGACAGAAATCTCAAATTGGCAGCTATGAAAAATCCCTCCGATTCACTCTTGGTATAATAGTCAGGCTCCAGGTGGTGCCCTTGCCATCAAGGCTGATAGAATCATTCAGTCTACCATTAGAAGACTCGCAAGTGGATACATCAGGTGTCTCTCAGCTGAACAGGGGCCAAAGACCTGTCTCACGTGCACCAACTGCAACTTTGCGCAGGACTTTCCGGATTACATATTGAACTGTGCAGGTCTTAATAGGATTGACCTTTTTATCAATCCTCTTCTGGTTTATGATTTTTTGAAGATTCTTGGGCTCGTGGACTTGGTGTAGAAGCAAGCTAGACCATGTGGAATGAGAAAAAAAAGCCTTAAACGATTTTTTGGCCATATAAAACGAATGGTAGGGCATGTTAAGAAACATGATGTTGCTAAACAGTCTGAGCAAAGAAAAACTGGACAATCCCCAGTGATAATTCTTGGAACATGTATTGTACATCTTTGCCTGACTTTTTCGTTTTAAACATCTTCGGATCTTTCGAAGGTCGCGGAGTCTAGTCAAAGAATAAAGTCGAAGCTATTATAATATATTTTTTTTTTTTTTTTGTTCTACATTCCTTCCCTTTAGTTTCAGAGACTGAAGGTTTATATACATCTTAACAAACATTGGACGAGGATCCAAACTTAGTGAATCCTTTTTACTTCGTTGTAAGAAGTAAGGAAGTATTGTAATCACAGAAACAGAGAGAAGTTTAGAGGAGCAACAGCGGTTATGTGAGAACGAGGTGGAGGGCACGAAATGTTTGGGACCGTAATGATGCCAAATACCCCCTTTTCTGTTTGAGGACCAGAGGCTCAGGTGCTAGACACACATGAAAACAGGCGCATGGGCCGGTAGCCTCATCCTGTATATAACGCGTGAAGAAATGACATATCTTTCCTACCATAATATGAAGGGATGTTGATTGAGAATTAAAAGAAATTCTCGACGACGCGTAGATAAGCCTTCGCATTAACAAACGAAGCTACTCCAGAAAGGACGACAGTCAGACTGCTGCTGAACTAAAAGGGAAAAGATAGAATTAATTTGAAGTCCGAAAATTTGGCTGCTTTACGCTGTCTGCATTCCTATTGGTCCGTCGCTGATCGCATGCATTTACTTTTCTAATCTTCTGTTTCAGCGAATTGAATGAGTAGCCTGGAAGCCAGTTTGTAGTTTTTCGGCTGAATTTTTTGCAGATCTGATTTTTCCAAGGAATGAAATAATTGAAGTAAGGAATGCGTTGATTTATTCGTCGTTGATCTTAGCTATTGCATCGTTTAGGTCTTTCGGAAGGGAAGTAATTTTTCCCTTAAGTTTCTCGCTATATTTGACTTGAGGGAGGTTTGTCTGATCTGGGTTAGTAGCAGTTTTCGTACTAGGGAAATTTTCTCCCGTGAATTCGGGTGCTTTAGGCTGCGGTGGGATGCTTTCCTTTTCAAATTTTTTCTTGTATTCGCTACAACTTCTGTAGCTATTCACGTGGTTTTGTCCGCAGGAAATACATTCGGCTTATCTTCCGGTTTCATGGTGCATTGATTACTTCGGTGCTGGTTCCCGCACGTTACACATCTCACGGCGTTACTGCAACAAAGTTGGGAATGGCCGAACTGCTGGCAACGGAAGCATTGCACTGGTCTTTTTCTGAAGTTGAATTTTTCTATGGTAGCATTGAAACTAAACATATTGTTTAGCTGGTGGATCTGGTTGCCTTCTGTTGTTCTCTTGAGCTCACGTAAGAATATGGGAAGTTTTATTATTTCTCCATCACGATGCTTGGAAAATTGTTTCACTTTCTCGATCGGATAGTTCCTGCGTTTAAGGTCTTGCTGTATAGTCTCTTCCTTTACAGATGCGGGGAGGTTCTTCATAATGATACGTAACGGCTTTTCACAGTCTAGCTGGTAGGAATAGTAAGGAATTTTCTTTTCTAATAATAGTTCGTTAATTTTATTCTAATCATTCAGAGTCTTAGTTTAAACGAAGATAGATTTTCCTCTCATCTGGCTTTCTGGGGCTCTCTGCAGTTTTTCGTGAACAGTTCGTCAAGCATCATCCAATCGCTTGCTTCGTGTGAAAATACAATAGGTGAGGGTGGAACTACAACGTTGGTTCCTCTTTCATAGTTCCCCTCGGAAATTTTTTTTAAGTAATTGGAAACGGTTTTCTTGAGGATTTCCATCGGTTCAGGATTTTCCTTAATTTTCGCAGTCTTCTTTGGGGTGATCCATTCTCCTTCTGCACAGGGATTATTGATATATTGGTCTGTGCGTTTTCTCTTTGTGAGATACTTGGAGGCATTCTTACAAAATTCCGACGTAACTTTAGACTGTTCTTCTGGGCTTTTGGCTTCCTTCAATCTGTGTTCGAACTCCATGTGCTTCGTCACGTATTCCATCCAAATTCTTTGATAAGCCTTTGTAATTTCACTTCTCGGGCCAGTCTGAAAAAAAGGCATCCATCACCTTTTTTTCAGACTTTGCTATCATCTTCTTTCTTTTGCTTTTTTTTCCGGAATCGGGGATCTTTCAAGAATTCATCACGTCTTGATGTAGTTGGTAAAACGATCTAGTTGGTAAAGGTAAACTAGATCGTTCAGGGTCCGTATAATTGCTAATATCGTCATCGGTATGAATTATCCTATAAAAGGACATAGCCACCTGTGAAAGCCGAAGGAATCACTCTCGTAATCAACAAAGGTTCTCAGAAAAAGACTGAGAGTAACTCACTGACCGCCTACGGGACTGGGTCAGTTCGGTGAGAAAAGAGCGATTGGATGAGCGATGTGACGATAAATATGTAAACCAAAGTGCGTCCTACACGCTTGGAATCACAGCTAGCAGAAAGAAAAAATAATAAAACGATTAAAACTCCACTAAGGAGAATAGCGAAAATTCTGGAAACAGTGTGATAATATTAAAGGAAATATTAACGGAAAAGTGTAGTTTTGAAAATAAAGAGGGAAAATTCAAAACCTTTCTGATCCTGATGCCCTGTCGATAGAATTCTTGCCATCAAGCAGGAATTTTTCCTGAATATGATTCAGTAAATACGTGAGAATAAACGTAAGACTTCTCTGTACAAGTGACAACAGTGGTTCCTCCCCGTTTGGTTACATCATTCAGCAAGTTTACAAGAGCTCTGCTATAGGAAGTCATTATCGTGGAACATACACGACCAGCGTATCACTTTTAGTATTTTGAGAACCACAAAAATCTGCCCGCTGTCATAAATTCATTGGACATCGTGGAGAATAAGCCTTTGACTTATGATGGGAGGGCTTTTCTTTCATTAAAATTCTCTGTGCAAGACTTGAGTGCGAGAGAAAGACCAGGCCTGCATTCAGAAGTTATAATTGATTTTTAAGGCATGTTTACTATTAAAACAAAATTTATCTGCTAAAATTGTGGTTCACTTACTTAAAAGAAGTGTCGGAATCTTTTTATTTAGGGCTCCAGTGCACTCCGTTTGAAATTATAATTTCTCTCGAAAACTCAGAAGTGCCAGGGCAGGGCCCTGGCACTTCTGAGCCCTGGCGCAATTTAAACTCTGGAGACAGAGCTTAAACCGTAGCCAATTACAGAAGCCAAATTTTAGCATGCGTGGATGTATTTACACCTTTCCCGCTGAAACGGTTTCGCGCATTCGCTCTGATTGATCGACTCTTATACCAAGTCGGCATAAGATTGAAAACTTCGAACTTTATGCCAAAACCACTGCGCCTAAACCAGTTTTTGTGACGTAGCAAGGTTTGGTTACCTAGCAACGAATCTCGGCTTAAAACAATTATGACATTTATACCACCTTCTGAACGGAGCCTTAAAGCACTATTACCGTGCCGCTTCTCGCTATTATTTCGCTTTGAACATTAATTATGTTTGATAAATATGTTAACTTTTTAAAAATCAATCTCAGTTTCAAAAATAAAAATATCTAAAGATTCTAATTTGCGAAATAAGGCGCTACAACCAACTTTTTCTTGACAATTATGCATACTGCAATAGCCAACAATTGTAAGTTTCTGCAAGTCGTCCCTACTCCTCCGGATGTGGTCAATGTGACAGACGGGAATGCGTCAGAAGAGGGAGAAAAGCCATTTAAGTTGGTCTATTTCTTAAAAGGTCCCCCTTCTATATTAAGCGATTTACTTATTATCAGTTCTTTTATTAGATATGTCATATTTTTAAATTTGGTTTCGACTTATTTCACGCAATATAATTGTTCTTGGGAATGATGGAACGCGTTGGGTTATAACATAATAAAATTGCATAAACCGAAGAAAAAGTTCAGTATCTACAAATAACTTATTATAAAATATTAATTCTTTGCAAGTTATCAGTTAATCATTTTAAATTTCTATATTTCATATGCTTACGCATATGCCCTGAACGGGTCCATGCCTCGGGGTCCATGGTCAAGAAAGCAGATTTCGAGACACTGCAGGCATTGGCCCACTAGGGCTGTTACACCACTGAGTTTAAGAGTCTTGAATTGGGCGTAAAGAGTCTTAATTCGCCCTATGAAATTTTTTTAAGATGCGTTTACCTTTTGGCTGCAAATGGCTATACACTTTCACCATCTTCTCTGATGAGGACGTGCTGCCACCTATAGAGCAAAAATGATAGCGTACTGTTATTCTTGAATGTATTATTAGTAAGACACTAGATTTTGAAGTTAAAGTTTTTAAAACTAAGAAATATAGAAAAATGTAAAGATGCGATCTAACAGTACGACGTTAGGGCCGAATGGGGTATAATCTTTTTAGTTTAAAAATGGTACCATTTTCAAAAATTAAATTTTCATGCTTAAGCGCTAGATTTTCTAATGTGATATCCTTAGTTTTAATTATTTTATTAAATAGTCATTGTACATATATATGCTGATTTAAATGTTTCAATTTATAATATTTATTCTGTTTTCTTATCTTTCAGGTGTTGTTTTGAAGGATTTGATAGAAAAGTACTTTGTCTCGCCAACACTACTTCGAGTGGTTCGAGTAGTAAAAGTGGGTCGTGTACTGCGATTGGTGAAAGGAGCCAGAGGAATTCGTACTCTCCTATTTGCACTTGCCATGTCCTTACCTGCCCTCTTCAATATTTGCCTCCTGCTTTTCTTAGTAATGTTTATCTACGCCATTTTTGGCATGTCTTTCTTCATGACAGTGAAACGTCGTTTTGGTATCACCGAAAATTTCAACTTCGAGACATTTGGCCAGTCTATGATCCTCCTTTTCCAGATGTCCACGTCCGCTGGTTGGGACGGCGTGTTGGCTGGAATCATGGATGATACGGACTGCGATCCCCCTGATCCGATAACCGATGACCCGGGTAACTGCGGTAGCAAGGGAATCGCGGTTGCTTATCTCGTCACCTATTTGATCATCAGCTTCCTGATTATCATCAATATGTACATTGCTGTCATTTTAGAGAACTACAGCCAAGCTACAGAAGATGTTCAAGAGGGATTAACGGCTGACGATTACGATATGTACTACGAGATTTGGCAAAGGTATGATCCTGATGGTACCCAGTTTATTAGTTACGAATACCTTACCGACTTTCTGGATGCTTTGGAAGAGCCGCTGCAGATTCCGAAGCCTAATAAGTACAAAATCATTTCGATGGACATTGCCATCTGTAAAGGTGATCTTATATATTGCGTGGATATTCTGGATGCCCTGACGAAGGACTTCTTCGCCAGGAAAGGACACGTTATCGAAGAGACAGCCGAAATCGCAGACGTAGTGCCCAACAAGGACCGTGGTGGACTCGAAGCAATCAGCAGTACGCTTTGGAGGCAACGGGAAGAATATTGCGCTCGTGTTATCCAACAAGCATGGCGGCGATATAAGGGCAGAAGCGGTTCAGAGCCGCAGCCCCAACAGACCGCCATTGTAGTCGAGAGCGACGGACACGTGACCAAGAATGGACACAAAGTCGTCATTCACTCTAGGTCGCCGAGTGTCACTAGCCGCTCTACAGACGTGTGATAATTACTCAATACGGGCATTTGAGCAGAATAAACATTTCAGGCTTTCTACAGCGAACGACAAATGGCTTGCTTTCTGAATTCTGTGAGCTCGTGGTGATGAACCAAAAGGGGCTGCAAGAAGCGTATATTTTTATATTATGTATGCAGGGGCTCATTACCTATCTGCTTGCAACACGTGTACTTGGTTGACTAAACCAGTGTTTTCCATCATTATTTTTCTAACGATTAGTTTACACTAATTATCTATTTACACTCAATGTAAATACGCAAGAATGTGTAAGGCCATAGCATTTGTTGCCAGAGAAAAAGTATATAATTTTATTATTATGTTCCCTCTCAGAATTTTAAGTGGTAATGTTGTTAGAAAGATGTAGTTTATTAATTTCTTTTTTGAAAATATTTGAAATGAGGAAGCTTAAATCTTTTAAAACTTTAGCAAAACCACTCAGATTAATTCATTATGGCACGGGAAAGTTAAGAAATATTTCTGACTTGTAGGAACGCCGATTCTGAAAGTGCTTCGTTTGCGGCGTCAAATAAATAATGCTTTTGGCCAGAGTCAGTTTTAAAGCTTCCAAATCATAACATTGTTTGGTTTCTCCTGTTTTAAAGGAGACATAATAACGCTTGTACGACCGCAGACCAGTGGGTTGCGAATGGTGTCTGCTCAGTCGCACAAGAAAGACGTGTTTACGTTGCAGAAAATTGCTTGTTGAATGATTCGTTTTGAGTTGAAAGTAGCTTGTTATTAGATAGAGTTTTATTATAAATAAGAACTTGCGTTGAATAGACACGGTTAGTTAGCAAAACAAAGTGTAGGCTATTTTTTTAATTTGTTACCTACTGCACACTCAAGTTTAGTGGAGATTTAAGCCCGTGCGCTTGTCCCGAGTGAGTGAAGGTATATATGCAGCAGGAATTCAACGAAGATTCTAAAGAGTGTTATATAAATTTTTGACAGGACAATGGCACAGCACAAAGAACATCCGTGTTGAAGTTAAGTATACATACATATATATCAAAGTCACAAGTATATATGTATATATATGATAAAAAAACGGATTCTTTTAGTGATAAAGCCGTCGTTATAGGGTTCCTCAGCAGTTCTCTTTGATGCTTCGCTCCCTTGAAGCGAAGCAGTAGCCTTTTTAGCCTACAGAGGAATACCTGGACAGCACTTTGTCGCTGACATGTGTTTCGAATAATTGTAAAAATCAAACAAAAAATATAAATGAATAAAATCAGATTTCATAACAAACTTGGATAGGGGAAGAAATGCCAACATTTTCTCATGTCCTTATCTATCTTTGCACATAGTAACTTTAGGTGTCTAACACTCCAAGCTCAGTTTATTACCCTTCCCCTAAAATAATAACAAAAAAGAGAGAAAAAAAACAACAGAATGGTGAAGATGTAGATAAAGATGAAGAAGTGTGACTTAGGTCACAGCCTTTTCCGTCAGCCACTGAAGAGCTGTCCCGCTCTTTTCTGAGGTTTCATTTTATCATGTGCCTTCTGCGTTGTTATTGCTGTCCCAAAACAGCAAGATCTAGCGTCATATGAAACTAACTCAGTAAACGTTTCGGACTTGCTTCACTTTAGCTTCTTTCCAGCCCCGATTCCGGCACATCCAAATATAATATATTCATTTCTATAGAAAGTCCAATATAAATGAGAAATATAAATATATAAATATATATATATATATATATATATATATATATATACACATATTATACATATAAATACAAATATACATATATATATGAAGAAAGCAGCTCGTGCTCATGTATATATGAAAATATGTAATACATTCTATATATACATGTCCACGCGAAAAAATTTCGTTTCATGAGCTTAGACGTCTTATGCCCCGACTCGAAGCTCTTGTTAATATTTAAAAAACGAAAAAGCAATGAAATTCGAAAGCACGTCGCTTTTAGTACGGAAGTTCCGAAACAGTTTTAATTTCTTCCATCGCAGTGAAGAATCACTAAGTATAGTTACTAAGTACCTATTTTCGGTGCTGATGAACTTGATTTGTAAGCATCCGTTTCAAGGCCACTCCATATTCAAAAACCTTTTTGTTTGTTTACTTATTTCGGGCTTTTCGTTACATTGCATTTTTTCTCCATTGAGAAAAGAAAATAACTTGACAAACAATCATCATCTCATGTAAAATCACGACAAATTCTAGCATAAATTAATTGCCTGTTAAATTTAGCAGGAACTCTAGCATTAGAAATTAATACCTCGATCCAAACTAGATTGATAGTTGCCTCCGATTTAGGCCCTCTAGCATTATTAAAAGTTTATTAGCTTTATTAAAAAAATGCATCACTGAAACAGCAGAAACTGATTGTATAACTCCTCCATCCTTATTCTTAGTGAAATCTTACGTTTTGAACAGCCTGAACTATTAAAGATTCTACTCCAATGTATATTCTGAAGATGCGCTATTGGAAACCATTTCATCTCAAATGCTATTACTATTACTACTACAGAGATGCTTCAAGACGTTGACTCGCCATTTCCATTTTAAACACCAAGTTTCAATCATTTTCTCAATTCTGCCTTTTCAGCTTGTACTTACTTTGTAAGACGTTTTGAATTTCACAGTTTGTACCATACTGCCTGTAAATACATCATTGAATAAATTTTTGATAATTTATCACAACGAACCAATGCTCAAGCAAGGACATGTTGTAGTGTGTAGTTTCTGCCTTGTTGTAATAAATCATATGCTTACACAAACCATCTCAATCAATTTTAGAAAAATGGGGTATAACAAATTATTAGTATACATAAAGCAGGTGAACTGAATATCCACACACAAGCAGGTGAAACAGCGAATATACGAACTCGTTGTCTCTCGTTAAAATCGTTGTCTCTCGTTAAAATCGTTGTCTCTCATTAAACACGAGGTTTCTTCTCGACAATATGAAAAAATAAAATTATTTACGTATTAGTGAATATTTGGAGGATGCTTTAAAATTACGCATTGTTTAGTAATCACTTTAATATGTGAATATGTATATGCTTTATGGAGTAACTATTTTCATTTTCATTTGAAGTTAGATTACGTTTTCTGCTTGCAGCTTAAAATTCAAAGAAACCTAATAAATACATGTAATGAAGTCAAAACAGCTACCTCAAAGAAAATTCAAATTTATATAAGCATTCCACAATTAAAATTCTTAATCATGACACTAAAGTTTTGATAACTTGTCCTGTTCTAAAATTTTTAATAATTGCAGATAGAAACACTTCGGTTAATCTTTGAATTCATAATGAGTTTGTAAGAATTGGGAAAATGCGTAAGAGAATAAGAATTCAGCAGACGACTCTTGGCTATTAACTTCACAGATCAACAAATGTGCGTAAAATTAAAAACCAAATATCCTAATTATGTTCTTAACTCAAAATAATTCCGAAAATTGACTCATAACATTTGAAATTAATGTCAGATACATGCACATAGGACAAAGTTTAAACTTTATGAGTAATTTCTAATAGCCGCATAAGCCATTTTAAGGACTGTGCGTATTTGCAATAATATCAAACTGCACGATTTTCCGAAACAAAATATGATGATAGAATAATACAGTGATTAAACAAAGCAAAATTGTTATTTAAATACCCCATTGTTTCTTAAAACCTATGGGTCGCGATCCAAAATGCCTTCGCAAATCAAAATTTTGAGGTCACGAAAATTGAATTCAATAGTTGAATTTAATGAAGTTGGATTCATAAGACTTTTAAAGAAATTACTTTAATTGGCATTAATGAGATTAGATTTATAAAGACATTACATTAATCGATATTAATGACATGAATTTCCTGTTGTATAAAGTGCAAAAAGAATTTGTAAATCCAGTAATAATAAAGCTTGAGTTTCCGCAAAAATCCTTGAGGAATTCTGGATCACAGAAATAGATTTCTCGTTATTTCTGAAATGGCATTAAATGTTCCCTCGTTCAGCACCACATATTTTTATAAAACTATTTTTTAGCTATTTAACGCTAATTAAAACAAAATGTCGTTCACTGTTAAAACAGACTGAAGATGCTTTATGTCCAGCAGTGTCAAAATATCGCACCAACATTTAATTTGTTATGCAGCCGAAAACGAGCAAATCTGCTTCATTAGAATTTTCTTTAATTTTTGTTTGTTAAAAATAAATACTAAAGTAGTTCTTTTTATATGTGTATTGTTTACCAAAGAAGTTAATTATTTACGGGAAGATATTTATTTTTATATCTTTATTTTATATTTAATATCTGGGGTCGCGAAAAAAGTCTCAATGATAAAAAGGAATCGCAATTGAGAAAAGTTTAAGAAACTCTGGAATACCCTAAATTAAAATACAAATTACATACCCTATTTTATAATAATAATCACTTAACTATAATACAAATTTCAGTAGCATATTAACAAGCACACAAATTTCAGATTTTAAAATTATAGAAGTTCATAATTTTTTCCCTCTTTTTTGCCATTTTGCATTTGATCAGTATAACGCAAATTATCTTCTTAAACAATGCTACTTTAATCTATAATAGTAGTAAATAATACTAATTTCAGAACTTCTTACAGCTTGTCGACTATTTAGATCTTCCCATAAGGAAAATAATGAAATAAACAACAAACAGAAGATTTCTTTTTTATATGTGCGTATTATAAAACTATCCTAATGCTCAAATTCATCATCTGTAATATTAGCTTGCAAATTAGGTTAAAATGAAAACTAGGTTATTTGTTGATTGCGGGAACTTCAGAAAATTACTAAGACAGATTCAGAACCCATATCTAGATACAGATGTAGTGATGAACCAATTAACGATTAGGAAAGGGTTTTTCACATTAGAATTAGAAATTATAGAGAGAGAGAGAGAGAGATTCAGAACTCATACCTACATATAGATGCAGCGATAAACCAATTAACGAACAGAAAAGGGTTTCTTGAGATCAGAATTAACATTTGGTTATTGGAATATCAGACTAAATGCAACAGAAACTTAAGAGGCTATTACAAATTAAAGTGGTAATTTTATCTTACACATCCCTGATATGTACAGCATTTCCTCTAATCCAAGATGTGGTCGAATTTATGATAAATTCTTAATTTGAATGGCAATAATTATGATGGGTGAACGGTTTTTTTTTTTTCCTAAGAGAACAAAGAAAAGGAAATTTAATGCTAATTTATATCTGCAAATATCTTTTCATAATCTATTTGTATTCATTAACAATTACAGAATCCCAATTTAAATTAGGAATTATTAAAATTTCGGAATTTGGAAATTAGCAAGTCAAAAAATCCTGGGATTCAATCCTTGCCCATTTTTAGTTATCTTACACTTGAAAAACGTTATGTCTTAGAATTTATGAAATACATATATATATATATATATATATACTATTCAATATATATATGTGTGTGTGTGTGTGTGTGTATAGGCATTTCTTAAATCCTAAGACATTCTAAGGGAAAAAATTTTCTAATGTTTTATATATAATCTCCAAGGAACATAAAGTAAATGTGTATATTGTTGCGTGCGTACGGGTTCGTTATGAAATGAATGCACAAGTTCGATGAAAAATGAACAAAAATTTATTATTATCACAACAAAAATGCTTAAATTTTCTCAAATTATCATGCAGTATTACAATATCTCACAGTAGTTATCTTTTAACTACTCAAATGTCCAATAGAACGTAATTCAAAACAGCTAAAGAACGCTAATCCGCGAATTCGCTACAATCAACAACAGTAGTTTTCTAAACAACAACAAACTAAACAACTCCTACAAACTGAGATGTTTTCCTCCTTTTATAAGATTTTAAAATCACGCGCTAGAATTTTCCAGCACTTTCTCGAAATCAAAAAGAGATATTTATTTATTTAACGCACGCGCTCTTGTATTATTTTAATTTTTCCGGCTTAGCTTTCTTTTAATATTCGTCACGCGCTGCACTGCGCGAGAAATAAAACCATTTAATTTATAATTGAACTAACATTAGCTTTTTTAAATACCAAATTCGTAACACTGCCCCCTTCCCAAGGACTGCACGTCCCGGGCAGTACAATCCCTGGACAGGAAGCTAAACTTACAACTGTGGCATAAATGCAACTGAGGCATAAACATTACATTACAATATCAAACAATATAAACAATAAATGCAATGAGTAACTTAAACAATCAAATGCTATCAAATACTAAATACAAAACAAACTAAATACAAATCAAATCAAATAAATCAATAAATATGAATGCAAATCAAATACTAAATACAAATCAAATCAAATAAAATACACATTTATAAACAAAAGGGACCATGGTCTGATACTATTTACAATTATTTACATTACGTACTATGGCCATAGTAATGAGCTAACCTGTCGTAATGAACGACTTTAGGTTTAGAGTTCGAAGACTTACGAATCCGAACCACGACGTCATTCAGCCTTTTTAGGACTGTGTACGGGCCATCCCAAGGTGACTGTAATTTCGGACAAAGTCCTTTCCGTCGAGTCGGATTCCACAACCACACCTTTGTCTCCTTCGTTGAATGATGTTCAGTAGCTCTTGTGTCGTATCGGGTCTTCATCTTCTCTCTCTCCGTCGCCAAGTTGACTCGCTCTCGTGCAAAGTTGTGCATCACTTCAAACCGGGCCTGGAGATCTTGAATATATTCCTCAGACGATGAAGGAGCATCCGGAGGGCGGCCAAACAATAGATCACAAGGCAGACGAAGGTCACGACCGAAGAGCATCTGTGATGGAGAATAGCCGGTAGTCTCGTGGACAGCACTGCGGTAAGCCAGTAAAAACAGCGATAATTTCTTGTCCCAGTCCTGCTGGTTTCTGGAAACCACTAATGAGAGGTTATTAAGGATGGTTCGATTGAACCTCTCTACCATGCCGTCCGACTGGGGATGTAATGGCGTCGTTTGGGTCTTGTCAATGCCGAGTAGTTTGCATAGTTCTTTGATTATTACTGCCGAGGTAAAATTCCTTCCCTGATCGGAATGTAACTGAAGAGGCACTCCGAACCTGGAAATCCAGTGCTGTATCATTACCTCAGCTACTGTGACAGCCTCTTGATCAGGAATAGGATAAGCTTCAGGCCACTTGGTGAAGTAATCAACGACAACGAGTATGTATTTGTTGCCATCAGCAGTTCGTGGCAGAGGTCCCAGGATGTCAAAGGCGATACGTTCAAAAGGCGCCCCTACGTTGTAACGTTGCAGCTTGCCTCGGCTGCGTCTCTTAGGTCCTTTCCGACCTGCACAGGCATCGCAAGATCGGCACCACTTTTGCACGTCATCCTTTGCATTATTCCAGTAAAAGCGCTCACGAACTCTCTGTAAGGTCTTCATTATTCCAAAGTGACCTCCCGTAGGGCTGTTATGTAGTTCTTTAAGGACATCAGGAATGCGGGATCTTGGAAGTATCAGCTTGCCATCGGAACGTCTTCCCATCATCCGATTCGAATTTCCGGTATAAGACGCCGTTTCGAATGTGAAGTGAATCCCAGAGTGCCCAATATTGTTTGGTTGTAGGACTACAGATAGAAATGTCCTGCCAGGTAGGTTTTCTGTTTGATGACTCCATTAAATCAATTATGGGTTTAATGTCGCGGTCTTCCAGCTGGTCTTTCCTGACTTCATCATCACTCCACGGTTCTCGATCAGC